TGTGAGATAAATAAGAATAAAATTGTCACATACAAAGTAAGTGCACAATTATTAGTATAAACAAGTAAACCAACCTATTTAAGTGATAAATATTTATATATGTTAGTTGAGTTACTTATCCCTCCTTTTTATCGTAAAATGACTTGATTGTCATTTGGGATCTCAACCCTTCCAAACTACAAAGGGATCCCTACTTTTACCATGATTACCACCCGAATGAGTTCCATTTAGACATATTCACGAGCTGGGCTCATGGAATTCTTACACTGCTTCGGGTTAAATCCATTCAAAATTTGGCAACCCGACCTTAACCCATGAACATGTCTGGCTTCATTTGACCTTATTTGAATTCTTGCCAATGACCCATTAAGTTCGGATGGTTAAGGAGTGGGATCAACCCTGTGGGCTGTGGTATTTGCTGTCTCTATGTGGTAAGTTCAATAGACCTCACGTGTACCCCATGAGCCTCTATGTGGTAATTCCCACCCCATGAGCCTCCCTTTAAAATGTGTTATATAATATCAGATACCAAAAGGTTAAACAATATAAAAAGTTTTCATCGCCCAGCTCCTGCTCACTAAACTGATATGTAATGAACCAGTTGACAAGTTACCAGGTTTACTAGCAATTAGACAAGTATAGAGTGGGCTAAGGTTGGTGAGGGTTCCATGTAGCACCTAATATTGGGCCGCGAATTCTAAATCAATCTCAGTCCAAGGCCCACAAACGCAACCCAAGTCATTCCAAAAGCCTCGAATTGGGTTGGGCTGGTATTTCCTATCCATAAAAATCAGGAAAAAAATACGTTTTTACTGGGAACCATTACGTTTTGGGACACACTTAAGACATGCCAGACGGCCCAGACCTAGAGAAAGGCCACAAATAAAAAATTTCCATTTCCTCAGTCACTATAAAATACACATAAATAGGAAAACGCATATAAATGTGGTTTAGGCTCAGTTTGGAAGGAGTACAAGTATAAACAGTGTAAAACTCTGTAATTTGTATTATTTTGTACATATTTGTATTTGTAATATTTCCAAGCTGAGCCTTAAGCTGTGTTTGGTTGCAATACAAATAAATTTGCACTAATGTAAAATCATGGCAGTGCAAATGATTTGAGTGTAAATGCTGACCATTTTTGTTTCAAATTTTAGTTTATTTTGTTTGATTGCAGTATGAACGAAGTAAAGTAAGAAATGAAGCAGAAAAAAGTAAAATCCAAAACAAAATTAAACAAGAATTTGCATTTTATACATTTGTACTCCCATGCATTTGTATTAGTGCAAATAAATTTGCACTGCAACCAAACACAGCCTTAGGTACAAAATTTTATTTTGAGCATGAGGCAGAGTTTTGAACCCAAACAATATGCCAGTCTTGATATGTAAATTTTTGGCCCAATAAGTGAAGTAAATAGGGCCCAATATAAGATTGAATGAAAAGGAGCTATTGACCCAATAAGAAAGGAATAACAGAATTTGGGCCCAATAAACATATTGGATAGGATCAAATGTGAAGTCTAATTAAAAAATGGGCCCCTAGTGTATTCCCACAAAAGGAATTGAGTGGGGAGGTACCATTAAATCCAAATCCAAAAGTGTCTTGGATAGGGCCTACTAGAAGCCAAACTGAGTAGGGGCAATTTACATTTGTCACGTTAAGGATTGAATATGGAGACATGCCCACCATTCATTTTTCGCACAAATCAATTAGAGAGGTTTTCTCTGATCAATGTAGTGGGGCCCAATTGATTGGCAGCGATGCCTAATTAATAATTTATGTAAAAAGAAAATATGATTGGCGGAATCAAGGAGGATTAGCTTAGTCCAATTAATGGATTTCCTTGGGCCCTAGTTTTTGACATGTCAAGTGGATGTCTTTGAAATCAATCTTGTGGGGCTCTCCATTTAAATGGTAATCATTACCTATAATAGGAGTGTCAAGTGAAGAAGGAAACCATAACAGGCGTAATATGGTTCCTCTCATTTGAATTCAAATCTTTGGACGGATTCACTCACCCAACAAAGGCCACTATAAAATTAAGGGGAAAACAAGAGGAAGGCCCCCCTCTTCGGTTCTTCCTTCGGCTCCCTCTAGTGGCCCACTTCTTTGGCTCTTAAACCTTTTTGTTTTGTTTTGTTTTGTTTTTGTAGTACAGGAAGAAAGATCAAGAAGCTTTGAAGTTGCAATGATTCCGTGTCACATCAATTTAAATATATTTTGGTGTTCGTGCTGCTGCAACAAAAGAAAAGAGGAAGATTTATCAAATTACTAGAATCAGAAGGTTTTGTTTGCCAAACAAAGAAAAAGGTTTTCTTTGTACCTCACTAACATTTTTGCAAAAAAGAAAATTAATTAAATTTCTTTAAATTTATTTACATTTTTTTGTGTTTAAAATTTAACGCAAAATTTGTATCGACAGTCAGTTCCCAAGTAGTAAGCCCAACTCTAAACTGGACATACAATTCAGATTGATTATGCCCTGGTCCAAACATTCCATGTCTTTCAAAACCATCATAATATTGATCAATGTTCACATAACATCATTCTAGTAATAAGGAATTATTTAATGGTTGCGGAGTCATCACTATTATGAGAAGCAACTTTTCATTTTTCATTGTACTCCATCATTCTTCATTAGCTAATCTTTCTAATCTAGTTGTATTCTTTTTTGAAGAACTACAGAACTCCCCCCCCCCCCTCTTTTTATGATTTAGTTTTTTTCTCTTGTTATCTCCTAAAAGGTGGCTTTTCTTAAAGGTCACTCCGATTCTTATGTTGTTTTAAAAAATCTTCTATTCTTATGTTATAATGCAACCACTTTTCCTTTTATTAATTTAATTTCTAATAAAACAACGTTAAATGTATTTTAAGGCTCAGTTTGGAAATAGTACAAATATAAATGTATTTATGGTTCAAATACATACAAAACAAAACATATTTTTGCACTCTACATATTTTTACTCTTTCCAAGCTGAGCTTAAATATCAATACCTATCTCTCTAAATGAAATCACAGATCAATTTTTAATACCTATTCCGTTTAAGCATCTGATACCTTTCCTTAGGTTGATTTTTCCCAAAGTTTTGGGGTTTTCAAGTTTTCAGAATAGTCGAACTTGTGATCTAAATCTAGACATTCAAAAAGAGAGAAACTGGCCCTTGAAGAAAAAAATTCCATTGCTTTACTTATTATTCTCTTATCTATATACATTCCATTAACCCAAGATGTGAAATCCAAGAAGAGAAAAAAAAAGGAAGCAAAAGAAGAGGGAAAGAAATGGGAAGTGAAGAGGTGTGATAGGATTAGCTGAATGCAATAATTGTTATTCCATGCATCTAGCTCATAGTAGAAACAAAACCTAACAATTTTGCATGAATGAATATATGGAAAATAACACTCCATGAGAATGCCTACCATTGGATAACAACAACATATATTCCCCAACAATTAAAAAATGAAGATGGGCAAAAGATTTTTCTTTGGTATTCAAATGCCTCATTTTGTCATCTATGTCTAAACATTCGCAGTCAAAACACTAGTCATGCTCAAACCCTGCCCAATTCTTAACTGGGCTGGAAATCTTGGCCTCTATTCTTTTGGGACCAGTCAAAAAAAAAAAAAAAAAAACTAAAAACCATTTCTTCTTCGTCTTCTTCTCATTCATTCTTCTCCTTCTCTCAGCAAAGGAAGAGTGAATGTTTGAAAAGACTCTTAGAAAGAGATAAAGAATGATCCCCGTCGCATCAGAACTGTTTAGAAAGAATAATCTAGTAGGCCATTTCTAAGGGGGGTTGTGGAGCTACGTCATCACTTTCCAACCGCAGGGCTCCGGCCGGTAGGCTGGACGTGACATAAAGTTCAGAACGGCCGGGATCATTCTACTTGATGAGATTGGGGAGGCACATCTGTGACGCATTTGATTCCAATTACCTTTCCATAATTCATCCAAACTTTTTATAAGATCAAGCTCAAGAGTGAAGCCCATGATTACGAAGCAGAGAAGCCACAGAACATGATAGGAGAACCGTCACACCCTCTTTGCTAGAAATAAGTCAAATGGTTCGAGCCAACAGCTCCAGTGGGCCTCACAACATGTGAAGTGGTCCCCAACTGGATTGTTCTCGTTCATCCCCAACCCCAAGTGGGCCGCATTGAACAATGGATCAGGAGCCTCAAATAGTAAATGGGTTTATCTGTCTACAGCACTCAGATTCTTGAATCATCTCTCTACCAATGTGACCAATGGAAAGGGAAGCCCAAAATAGTAGGCGCATGGGCGCCCACATGTAGAATAGATGCCTTATTCAATCCTTGGGATATTCTTTTTATTATCTGATGATTAACAATTTCGGTAGAGCCTGACATCATGGATTCAGTCTAATTCAATGCAACCATGACACGCGACAACTTGATCCTCATCCAAAATTCCAACCCCTCTAACACGTGGTCGCCGTATATTGCTAAAAAGGGTTAAAAATTAATGGTCTCATAGGCACCAATCCGGGCCCAAGTAGATGAGGTGGCAAGATAAGAACCATGAGTTTGGTTGATTTCTTTTATTTATCTTTCCCCCTGCTTTCTCAAAGGGAAAGGGGCAATCAATGATCATGCGGGACTCGGGAGTGGTCAGGCTGAGTAAACCATGTGAGAGCCCCTACCCGGCTACCCGGTTACCCCTACCGTACCGTGTTAGTCCTTGATTGGCCTGAAAATGAATTTAGGCACTAAACTATAGAAAGATTCTTTTAAGCCAATGAATGATCAAAACGATAGGTATCGTACCAATTGTTCAGCGTGACCACAAAATCACTGGTCATCATCCTTTTGTACAAGAAGAGGACGCGTGTCGTCACGGTGAAGTGGGTCGATAGTCCAATTTATTCCTGTGATGGGCCTATCCGAGGTTAACTAAAAGTTATACGGGTGGGTCAAAAAAATACAGCCCACCTGTGCCAAACGACAAAAAACCAGCCAATATAAATGGCTTACTTCCACCACCCTTTCAAACATTTCAAACGCCACATCTTCTGCTCAGGCTCGCAAAATAAACTTTCTCCACTCCTGAGTCCTGACCCATCTTCCTTCTAATCCCATAGATTTGGTTGCTCTGAATTTCTTGTTTCAGTTGATCACTCACTACTAGTACTAGCTAGCTAGACATCAATGGATGGAAGAAAGAAGAGCTCTGACCTTCCTCCGGGGTTTAGGTTTCATCCAACTGATGAGGAACTGATCATGTATTATCTTCGAAATCAAGCGAGATCGATGCCCTGCCCCGTATCTATAATCCCGGAAGTTGATATCTATAAATTCGATCCATGGGAATTACCTGGTTAGTTTTGATTTTTGTTAAGCTCGTATCTCTTGATGATGGTTCATATAAATATATTCATGGGTTACTGCTAGTTGTTGATCTGTAAATTAAAATTCATCCAATTATTTGTATGTGGGTTGTAGAAAAGGCAGAATTTGGTGAGACAGAGTGGTATTTCTTCAGCCCACGAGAACGCAAGTACCCAAATGGGGTGCGCCCAAATCGAGCAACCGGCTCTGGTTATTGGAAAGCCACGGGCACAGACAAGGCAATCCGCAGTGGGCCTAAGTATGTGGGGGTGAAGAAAGCTCTTGTGTTTTATAAGGGCCGCCCGCCCAAGGGTGTTAAGACGGATTGGATTATGCACGAATATCGGTTGGATGGTTCAAACTGTAGACAGCCGACCAAGATCAATGGATCCATGAAAGTAAGTCTTGTTCAGTTGATATATAATAACATGATTAGGCCTGATGAATGATAATCTATCTCGGTTTTTCCAACAACTAATTCCAAACTTGTTTTCAACTTTTATCCACTGCAGTTGGATGACTGGGTCCTCTGTAGGATTTATAAGAAGAGGCATTTGGAAAGATCTGTGGAGCAAAATGATGATCCATGTCTTCGAGAGAACACAGAAACCAATTCTTCTGGTGCCAGTGAGCAACAACAACCTTTGATATCTCCAAGGACGTGTTCTCTTGCTCATATGCTGGAGATGGAGTATCTGTCCATGTCGCACCTTTTAAATGATGGCAACCCGCTTGATGATTTGCCGATGCAGTTCCAAACAACCGAAAACAATAATCACGAAGTTGACAAACTTTTTTCTGGCGACATGGCTCACCAATTTCCGAGCACGGCGAAGTTTCAAGTGAACCAGAGTACTGTCTTTAACCCGCCGATATTCATCAACCCGTTATTTGAATTTCAGTGAGCTGGGCTTGGTTAAAATGGGGCGGAAATGTGTTTTCTTATGACGACCTCCTCTGTTCAAGCTCAACAATTGTAGAAATCTGTTTCTCTTCTTTGTCGCTTATTAGCTTCTCGTTTCCAATTCGGAGGTGCAAGATTAAATTAAACCATGTTACAAGAAATGTAAAATGTTGTATAGCTAGCAAGAACAGATGAATTTGTGTCACAGAATCATAGAAGGTGACCATTCATCAAACTACGGGATGTAACAAATGAAGTTACATGATTACCAGGAAAAAAGATGACAGACATTGTCAGTTATTGTCTTTATTCTTGAATATAATGGATGGTTGGGATTCACAATTAATTCCACTAATCAAGTTTTGCAAATATGAAGCCTTATCATGGGATTTTTTTTGTATTTATTTGGAAAGCCTTATTGTGGGTGTCACTGCTCTATTTGATATTATATAATATTCAAATAATGACATGAGATGTCCAAATTCGGTGATGACCAAAGAGGTAAAAAAGATTCTAGTTGCTGATTTAATTTTAACAGCTTTATAAAATAAGTTGAACCACAATCGGAAGAGGGAAAACTAGATCTCATGGAGTTTTTTATGCTAGTCGCTCTGCTATTTCGAAACAAAATAATGAGGAAACTCCGACCTGTTTCAGTACTGGGTCGGAAAATCAAAATGTAGAGATTAATTAGGGATGACAATTTTCTCCATCTCGATGGGGACCCGACTTCCTCGACCGGATGGAGTCAGGGATGGAGATTATTTTGGCGGAGCGGGGATGGGGATGGGGATGGGGATTGAGGTCCCTACCCCGCCCCGACCCCAATTATATATATATATATATATATATATGTGTGTTATTTATATTAAATATATATTATTTCTATATATCACACCATATTTAAAACATCATTTAAAATTTATTTTAAGTAAATATATTTTTCAAAAAACTACAGTTATCTAAAAATATTTCGGGGATTCGGATCCCCACAGGGAATCCATCCCCATCAGGTATTAGGGATGGAGGACACATAATCCCTAACCCGAACCCGCCCCGTTGCTATTCCTAGTAGAGATTGAGGCTCCCCTCTGTGAGTTATTAAATATTAGGATTAATGACGATGAACTAGACTGAGTTGGGATCTCTTGCTAATAAAACAGGTTCCAATCCCCTATCAACGATCAAGATCAGCTTTAGTCAATGCAAGGCCCGTTCGAACAGCCTTGCATTGGGAACGTTTCTCTACTTCTGTGATTTATTTTATGGGGAGATATTCCCAATGCAAGGCTATAATGGTTATTAGAACAGATTCTGCACTGACTGAATCCGGTTTCCCTATCAACTTGATCTGACATCGCACATCTCAGGGACTGAGACCCACTATAAAAGTAGGACTCGCCATGTATGAGATGTGCGATGTCAGGTTATATTGGTAGGTTGTTGAAATGTATTTTATTGGCAGATGATCCGAACTTGAGGATAACAGTCTAGATCAGGGTTCCATTACTGTTCAAAGGAAGAAGAGGGGCCTCAAATCCAATAAAGAAGGAACATCTAAATAAGCCTTGTCTATCACATTTTCTCCTTTGGTTGGCGTTTGTTTCTGTAAAATGGATTTAAGATTCTTTAGAAGGGAATATTTCTGCCTTTGTTTTAATACAAATTAATGGCAAGGAAAAGTTTACGTAGGGAAAAAATGTAGCTAAGACTTTTCAGCTTAGAAAAAACATTTCAAGACCATTTTAGGTAGAAACAAAGAGAAGCTAGGAAAATAAATACTTTTCTCTCTTTCAAAGTCAATCATCCCTTGAGATCCATAGAGTCTACTAATTAAAATGTTGTTTAAACCATCAGTGCTGATTGCCGAAAACAGTGGAAATCGCCCATGGATTTAGTTTAGTTATCCATCAGTTATTGAAACCGCCTCCTGAGCTAATTTAAGTACATGATGGCTTAGGTGGTGGAAAATGGGTCCACTTATTTGACCATTTTGCTGCCATGTGGCAAAGAAAGCACCTTGTTCGTTTTTTTAATTGACTCAGTCAGCTTTCTATCAAGGAAGCCGGATCTGCTACCAACACAACGCTTCCAATACAATTCCAACAAAGCCACTGCAGCTGCACATTAAGCTCAGTTTCGAAAGAATATAAGTGTAAATATATACAGTGGAAATACATACAAAATAATACATTAGGGCCCAATTTGGAAGGAGTACAAATGCAAATATATAATAATGTAGAGCGTACCTAAAACATTTTATTTTGTATGTATTTCCACTGTACATATTTGTATTCATACTCTTTCCAAACTGAGCCTAAGAGCATCTTCATTTAAGAGGATCTACTACCAACATAATACTCCTAACAGGTCACTGTGCACTGTAGGTGCACATTGGGAACATCTCCCAGGTGTTTCCCATATGCTACTGCAATTGCTTGTTGGGAGTAGATCTGAACCCTCTTTTTACGGAGTTCAGATTGATCTGTGCCCCACAACGTTCCATGGCATATCTCTGCTGTGTATTGAAAACATCTCTCGATGATCATTTCTGATACATCATCGGTAGGAATGTGCTGTGGGACATTGTGGAGCAGAGATGTGAACTCCTTTTTACAAACCCTCTCCAGCTCTCCTATTGGTTATTGGTTGTTGGATTCTTTGCGCTTTACCTCCATCCATTCTTCAAAGCTGTTTTATATATTTCTTATCCTAATTCAGTCATCCATCAAATGCTTATTTATAATCTAGAAGAGGGGTGTAACCAAGTCGAGTCATTCGAGTACCAAGTTGCTTGCTCGATCACAACTACTAAAAAATACAGAGTTTGAATTTGACTTGAGTTGATACCTGTGAGTTATTGGAACTCGACTCGATTCAAGTTGATTATAAATAATTTAATATAAATAAAAATCAATTATGAATGTATTATTTATATTATAAATAAGTTATAAAATACCACTCGAACCGATTATTGTAAAGTTGGTAGGATTAGCTAGGCTTAGCTCGCTTACACATACTATAGGAAAAGTTGTTCAAATTTATAAATGACGTTATTTTATAATAAATTTATATCTCCTTGCTTGGTGACCTTTTATTTATTTAATATTAAGTCACTCAGACAGGAGTAATGAGGCAGCAGTGAAGGTCAGTTGTCAAAGAGGGGACCCCGACCCACTGTGCTGGCCATTTGTTTGAATCTGTCGTTTTGCTAATATGACCTCTCCTGATCTTATCCCTTACTACATATTTGTTGATAATTCAGTTCACATGTTTGAATGACAGAGCGGTTAAAGAATTCAAAGGAGGGAAACCGGTTGGCCAGAGAACAAATTAAGTGAGAAAGAGCCTCTCTTAATTTGTTGAAGACTCGTGCAAAACTCTTCTTCATATTTCTTGAACTTGATTTGTCTAGCTCTCTAGCTACCTCATCAGTACTCTTTCTGGATAATTGGAATCCTAGCCAGTGGATTCAGGTTCACGCCTACAAGCAGGTGGTACGTACGGGGGGATTTTGGTTGACAGTTGAGGGATTCAGTTGGCACATCGGTTTTCATATTACATTAGCAAGATAATATGTTGTTTTCAGAAACCAAGTATACATATATATATATATATATATATATATATCTTCACTTTTATAATAATGCCAAAACATAGGAAGTAAGTACAGGGTCCAGGGTCCATCCACTAGATTGATGAAAAGAAAAAAATAAGCCATGAAAATGCAAGCTACACTACAGTACGTCGTCATCTAGACGCGTCTACCATTGTTGAGAACATGAGATTTTCTAAAGATTAAAAACAAATATTACGGTACATATAGATCCTTATCCTTGTACAGACTACAGATCAGAGCACAAGCAGTTGGGTCTTGGGCTCTCGGGTGGGGTTCTCATGATCAGTTGTCACAGATAATTAATCTTGAAAGAAGAACATGCATGATAGCTTCTCTATATTTTAAATCTTCTTTTGACATGATTTACAAATTAAAAACCCAGTAAATGTAAATTAAGGAGAAACTGTTGCAAGGTTTGTGCGTTAATTAACAGGAGTGATTAGTGATTACGATGATCGAGATGTAGGTGCTGGCCTTGCCTAGTTGTCAACTATATATATATATATATGCAAATGGCTGCATAATTGAAGCTAGCATTTATGAAGACGAGATGAGAAGGCCAAATTCAATGAAACCTTAGTTAAGGGTAATGAACCAGATCCGTATTATGTGGCTAGCTACTTGTTTGGTCCACCGTCCACGTATATGAACTTGAAGAATTGGACAGGGAAATTTCTTCTGTGCTATGTAAGGTACACTACTTCCTGGCCTGGCCCTAGCTAAGAAGCCAAGATATATAATTAATTGATAATTCTTAATTCTTGCTCTCTCTCCCTCTCCCTCTC